TTCCTTTTTTTTTTTAATTGAATCAGAGTGAGATACAATTACAAAGTTGTTCATGATTGGGTTTCAGTCATAGTGTTTCAATACCCTTCCAGCTCAAATAGCACAGAGGGTAGGGCATTTGCCTTGAACATGGCCGTCCCGGGTTCGATTCCTCCACCCCTCTCAGAGAACCCAGCAAGCTACTGAGAGTATCTCACCCGCACGGCAAAGCCTGGCAAGCTACCCGTGATATATTCGATATGCCAAAAACAGTAACAAGTCTCACAATTTGTTGTGAGACGCTACTGGTGCCCGCTCGAGCAAATCGATGAACAACGGGAGGACAGTGCTACCCTTCCCTTCACCAATGTGCATTTTCCACCACCAATGTCTCCAGTTTCCTTCTACCTCCCCACCTGCCTAGCTCTTTTCTTCTCTCTCTTCCTTTCTCTCTTCTGCTCTCTCTCTCTCCTTCTTTCTCTCTCTTACTCTCTCTCTCTCATTGTGCAGAAGGTGTTCTACCCTAAGAACATTTTCCAAACTGCCATTATTTATAGATGATACAGTTATATACACAGGACCCATAGATTCTTAGAATATGGGAATTTACAATGGAACAAGTGAAAGATTAAAGACTTAGGACCAGAGATGTTGCTCACTGGTAAAGTTCATACTTGGGATGTCTGATCTGGATTTGATCATACATGCAAAGACTCTGGATTTGATCCCCAGAACCACATCCCACCAAAGTCACACTTTTTTACATGTGCAAATATTTAGAAAGCATAATGTAAAATATATATTCTAGCAACAAAAAGTAAGATAAGTAGAAATAAATCTAAATTTTGAAAAACAACAGACAGTATTATAAAACTTTGAATATTTTTTGTGGGGGATGGAGCCACACACAGCAATGCTCGGGGCTTACTCCTGACTCTGTGCTCAGGGCATTCCTGGTGCTGGGGATCGAACCAGGGTCAGACACATCCAAGAAAAGTGCCTTAACCCTTTTACTTTCTCTCCAGCCCCTGAATATGTTTTGGGGTTTTGTTTTTGTTTTTTGCTTTTTAGGTCACACTGGGCGATGCACAGTGGTTACTCCTGGCTCTGCACTCAGGAGTTACTCCTGGTGGTGCTCAGTGGACCATATGGGATGCTGGGAATCGAACCCTGGTCGCCGCGTGCAAGGCAAACGCCCTGCCCACTGTGCTATCTCTCCAGCCCCTGAATACATTTTTTTAAGTACTAAACTTTATGGAGGGCAGAATTTGAATAGCTAAAACACAGCTGAAGAAGGGGCCTTGTCTGATCAGACGTTAATACTTACTATAATGCCATTGAAATTCAGAAAGCATAGTTTTAATATAGTATAGAATAGTTAATAGAACAAAACATTTTGATCTATATAATATGGGAAATTTATACAACGGAAATTATTGACAGTAATGCAATGGAATGCAATATATCAGGTTTGGGGTGGCATTACAAATCTGTGGATTAAGAAAAACTATTTGGTGAGACAATTGTTTATCCACATGAATAAAATAAAATTGATTCCTAATTCACAAAAGATCCACAAAGCAATTCCTAATAGATTAAAAGCTCAAGTATGAAAAGTTATATTGTATAGATTTCAACAAAAACTTAAGGATCTTATCCCAATTATCTTGGAGTATGAATGAATTTTCTAAACAGGTCATTAAAGCTCTACCAAAAAAAAGAAGAGATTAATAAACTCAGCAATGTTAAAATTAAGAACTTCTGGTCATGGGGCTGGAGTGACAGCATAGCGAGTAGGGCATTTGCTTTGCACGCGGCTGACCTGGGTTCAGTTTCCAGTATCCCATATGGTCCCCTGAGCACCGCCAGGAGTAATTCCTGAGTGCAGAGCCAGGAGTAACCCCTGTGCAACGCCGGTGTGATGCAAAAAAAAAAAATTCTAATCATCCAAAACCATAATCCAGGGATTGAAGAGATAATATAGTAGGAAGGATGCTTGCCTTGTACACGGCTGATCCAGGTTTTCTCCTGGGCACCTTATAAGGTTCCACCACATCCCACCAGGAGTGACTCCTGAGCACAGAGTCAGGAGTAAGCCCTGAGCACCAGTGGGTATAATCCAAAAAATAATAACAAAAACAAAACAAAAATTAAACTGACAATAGATGAATGAATAAAGAAACTGGGGTATATATACACTGGAATACCATTCAGCTCTAGGAAAAACTGAAATCTTGCTTTTTGCACAGCTGCCCAGGTACGATCCCTGGCATGGTCTCAAGAGCCCTGCCAGAAATAAAATCTAAGCACGGAGCCAGGAATAATCTCTGGCTTTTATGGGGTATAGGCCTCCCCCATAAAAATAAGTTGGAAAGGAGTCTTTTCTGAGGGATTTGTTCAGCTTTTTAAAAGATCTATAGAGGGACAATGTAGTAATACAGCAGGTGGGGTGCTTGCCTTGCATGCAGCCAACCCGGGTTTGATCCTCCAGACCACATATGGTCCCCGAGCCCACCAGGATTAATCCCTGAGTGAAGAACCAAGAGCACCTACCAGGTGTGGCCCAAAAACCCCCCAAATAAAAAGATCTACAGAGACTGAGTTTGGAAAAGCAGACGACCTGTTGCTCATGGTTGACAAAATCCTATCCAGAGCTCAAGACTTTTCAAGCCTCTTCCTCATTAACACAAGAAGACAGCAAAAAGTGTACAGGCAGTTGAAGAAAGCTTCCAACAGATGATGTGCTGCTTCCTACCATTTGTGGGGGGGGGGGGCGGGGGGGGGCTGGAGCGATAGCACAGCGGTAGGGCGTTTGCCTTGCACGCAGCCAACATGGCCGACCTGAGTTCGATTCCTCCACCCCTCTCGGAGAGCCCGGCAAGCTACCGAGAGTATCTTGCCTGCACGGCAGAGCCTGGCAAGCTACCCGTGATGTATTCGATATGCCAAACACATCAACAACAAAGTCTCCAATGGAGACGTTACTGGGCCCGCTCGAGCAAATCGATGAACAACAGGAGGACAGTGACAGTGACAGTGTGTGTGTGTGTGTATGTACATACATGTACAGCTGTCTAGCTGTCTGGGAGTCTGAGAGTGTATCTGGATGTCTGGACATGTGCGTGTTTCTGTGTATGTAAAACTCATCAACAATAAGATGAGTGATGGGTTCCTTCACCCACAGAACTCAATCACAGAACAAGATTTCAGCTGGGTTCCATGCATCCAAGAAATTCCTCACCTGAGGCTGTTTCCAAAGTACCAGGAAATGCAGGTTCTCAGCCCAGCCCAGACTGAAACTCTGCTCTTTAGATCATAAAGGGGAATTGTGTGGCAGTGTGATAGTGTTCCAAGCCCCCAGTGCCCGCTATGAGCACGCTCTTGCTGTTGTCTTTATCGGGTGCTTCAGCTCTGTGATCTTTCACTTCAGCTGCCTGCAGGGCTGATGGTCCTACAACTAATTTTTCAATCTTCCCTTAGCTGAGGACAAGGAGGTCCCAAAGGGAAGACTGGATTGGGATCCCACCAGGTGGCCCTCCAAGAAGTGATGGGATATGAGGTGAAGTCCAAAAAGCAAAGGGGAACCCTGAGTATCACCAGAAGTGGCCCCTAAACACAGAGTCAGGAATGAGCACCTAAAGGTGTAGCCTCAAATATATATATATATATATATATATATATATATATATAATGTACATTTATATATAAATATATATTTATTTATAAATATATATAAGATATATATGAGAAAAGTTTTTATCTTGAGACTGAAGAGATAGTACAGGGCTTAAAATGCTTGCCTTGCACTCAGCCAAATCCCCTCAATCTCCAACACTACATATGGTCCTCAAGCACCACCAGAAGTGATCTCCAAGCACAGAGCCAATAGAACCAGGATGAAGCCCTGAAAAACACCATGCTTGGCCCAAAAGCAATGTTTAAGAAGGAGGAACAGAGCTTAAACAAAACCTCAGTTCAGCTAAAATGTAGAGTGGGTACCATAACAAAGTGGATGCTGGTGACAGGGTTAAACCCTGGCAGGATCAGGGTCAGCATGGAATCGGGATTGGTGTGTGTGTGTGTGTGTGTGTGTGTACACGTGCGCATGTACCGCACCTGGTGGTGCTCAAGGTTTACTGCTGGCTCTGCACTCAGAGCAAGGATACAGGGGATTTAACCAGGGTTGGCCACATGCAAGGCAAGGGGTCTACTGCTGTACAATTGCCCTGGCCCCAGGAAATTCAATTTTATGACGTAGGAACCTGCCCCCAGCTCTTCCCTTTGTCTCTTTCAAGGCACCAGGTCCAGAGAGCCTTTCCTGTCTAAAATATCTGCACAAGGTGGCTAGTTCCCCAGGGCAGGGCGCAGGGCTTTGCTGAGGCCCAGATTATTCCAGGAGTCCAGTGTAGACTCAGGTCCTGCTCCCTTGGTCGCACTGTCTGGAAGAGAGTAAGTAAGTAAGTAAGTAAAGGTCCTCGAGCGGGCCCAGTAACGTCTCCATTGGAGACTTTGTTGTTAGTGTGTCTGGCATATCAAATACTCTCGGTAGCTTGCCGGGCTCTCCGAGAGGGGCGGAGGAATCGAACTTGGGTCGGCCATGTTGGCTGCATGCAAGGCAAACGCCCTACCCGCTGTGCTATCGCTCCAGCCCTGTCTGGAAGAGAGAGAAAAGGAATATCAGCTTAAAGATCTCCCAGATCTCTCTCTGGGTCAAGGAGATAGCACAGTGGGTGGGGTGTTTTCCTTGTATGTGGCCAACCCAGATCCAATCCCTGGTACCACAAATGGTCCCCTGAGTCCCTCCAGGAGTGACCCTGAGCACAGAACCAGGAGTAAATCCTGAGCACTGCTGGGCATGGCCCCAAAACCGACCGAGGAGATAGGCTGGCATGGGGCTCCTGCTGGCAGAAGGGAGAGGGGCTGGGGAACCCACTCTAGGACCTCCTGGATCTCTGTGTGGCAGGACCCCGGTGTCGGGGTGTGTCTGCCTGAGCCATTTCCTCTCCTCTCCGCTTGTCTAGGGCCTTACTCAGCGCATGCAGCAGCCGGAGTGTTCTAACACAGCTCTGCAGAAGATGGTGAACTGCACTGTGCAGGACTACCCCTTTAAAGACTCTTTCACAGGCCACCCCTACTTCCCTGAGAAATACTGGATCTCTCCATTGGCAGGTAGGGTTCACTGTTCACCCACTCTCACTCCAGAGAGCAGCCCCCAAAGAGTCATCCTCAATGTGAAGCCAACTGAGATCTGTTTTATTTATTTATTTATTTTTTAAGGCACAGTATGTCTTCACAGCTCTCAGTGGAGTTAGAAATTATCTTCAAAAAATAATTATTAGGGGATTGGAGAGATAATACACAGGTTGGGCTACGCACGGCCAACCCACGGGCTTTCCTTGCATGCAGATTCAATTCCCAGCATCCCAGATGGTCTCCGGCACCACCAGGAGTGATTCCTGAGTGCAGATTTAGGAAGCATATTTGGGTGTGCCCCTACCTCCCCCCCCCAAAAAAAAAACCCAGAATATTAAATGGCAAGTAACTTTCCTCAAACAACACAGTCCTAGAAGAGAGGAGGACTCATTAAGAAGGAGGGAGAGAAGGACCCCGAGCACCACTGGGTGTGCAATCCAAAAAATCTCTCACAAGTCTATGAGAGAGAATGTAGCTACCCCTATTGACAAAATTCAAGAGAATGAAATAAATGAACTCACTCAGCTAATACCTTGCCGCGGTGCTGAAGTGTGCCATAGTGTCCCACCCACCCTTCCCCCACACTCCTGCAAAGTCCACTCTTGTAATCATGACTTTAATTGTCTCCTCCTTAAGATCCTGTAGAACTAAGGGGGGGTGGGGGTGGGGACGGCAGTACAGGGTAGAGTCAAGTGATTTTAAAGAGGCCAAACAAGCAAACATTTGTGCTGGAGAGATAGTACAGCGGGTCGGGCATTTGCCTTTCATACGGCCGACCTGGGCTCGATCCCCGGCATCCCATATGGTCCCCCAAGCACCATCAGGAGTAATTCCTGAGTGCAGAACCAGGAGTAACCCCTGAGCACCACTAGGTGTGGCCCAAAAAAAAAAAAGCAAACATTGGAGTACAGTTGTGGAAGATAAGCATGAAGAAAGAAGGAATTAGGGGAAATTTTATTTCTAAGTTGGCAGAGAGAAAGAGAGCAGTGCTGGAGTGAAAAGTGATCCTCTAAGAGGAACCTGAGAAATCAAGGCATAAATGGGGTGCACCTCAGAAGCTAAGGCAGACACAGGGGGGCATCTCAATGTCTAAGACAAGTGTTGGGACACAGTGTACTTGTCTGGCTTGAGATGAGTGTGAGTCCAGTTCTGAGCTGGGATCAGAGGAGAAACATGTTGGGGGAGGGGGGGTCACAGATGCCAGGGTGAGGGAAGCCAGAACACTATATGACTTCTCCACCCCTATGATCAAGCTAACAGATGCCCCCCAAACTACCAATGGGAAGACCAGTACAACCCCTGGAGAATGGAGCCTTACTACTATACCTGCTGGAACAATAGATACCTCACACGCCTTCCCCAGCTGCCCAAGGTAACACTTCGTCCTGCACAAACTTCCAGGCTCTGGGACACGCACCTTTCGCTTTCCAAATGGCAGTGAATGAGTTGTCACGTTCTTGACACTTCTCCCCTTTCCTGCTCATCCTGTTCTTCCCCACTGGTGAAATTCAGATCTATACTTTCTAGGGAGTCCAGGAGTGGGGCTTTGTCGAGAAACCCTGCATCCCGATCTCTGGGACTGGACTCCTGGGCACCTGGGTCCTTTGACAGGGTCCTGTGGGAGGACAGGCCTTGCCTGCACACCTTGACCCATCCTCCTCCTACAGGGTCCAGCCCAAGCATCCAGGGTCTCCTGCTGGGCAATCCTTGTTTTTTCCTTTGGGGGCTGTATCTAACTGTGCTCAGGACTTACTCCTGACTCTGCACTCAGGGATCACCCTTGGTGGGTCTCTAGGTACCATACTGGGAGCCAGGGATTGAACCTGGGCCTGGCTGTGTGCACAGCTACTCCCTACCTGTTGCACTACTGCTCCAGCCCCGGGACTCTTGTCCCAAGGTCAAATGGTCCCGTAAAGCAGAGACAGGAGCCTTCAGAGGAGAAAGGAGCTGCCCTCTCCAGTCCTAGAGGAGGAGAGGAGGGCGAATCTAAGAGCAAGGCTGGGGTTCTTTACTGTAGAGTGACTCAGAAATTTTCGTAAGGGCCTGGAGCAATAGTACAGTAGATAGAGGGCTTTCCTTGCATGCATGACAACTGGAATCAGACCCCTGGCGTCCCCTAGGATCCCAGCTCCCCAGAGCCCAGAGCACAGAGCTAGGAGTAATCTGTGAACACAGCTGGGAGTGGCCCAAAATTTAAATTAAAAAAAAGTCTCCAAGTGATTCTGTGGGTAAGCAATATTGAAAGTGTATTTTAGAGAGACCTCCTGACAGTCGAGTAGACCAAGAGAGGGGTCAAAGCAAAGGCAAACACTTAGGCCAGGTGGTCGCTTGGCTGGGTCCCAGACACTTTCCAACTCCTGCTGCGCGAGCACTTCACCCCTCCTACCCCACCCGCTAGTCCCTGTAGGCGGAGTAAATGCAAGGCTCAGCAGCCCTCCCGAACACTGAGAGCCTGGGAGTACTGGTGGGCATCTCGCGGGCGCTGAGGCTGTGGCCTGCATCGGGTATGGATGCTCTGAAGGACCTCCCAGAAGGGGAACCTCTTGGCGGTCACAGATTGAGCGAGCTTGCTGTGCCCGTTCCAGATGCCGGGGATGGAGACAACGGGTGGAGGAATGCCGGTGGAGTGTACCCGTAGACCGGAGCAACTCAGTCCTTGCGGTAATGGATGCGCAGCGGTGGAGGGGAGCGGGGGAGACGGAGGGCTGGGGACATTTGACCTGGAGGTGGGCGCGGGGAAACGGGCTGGACGCTGAGGGGCCTGTAGAGTGTAACCTGTCTCTTGTCCTTTTTTTTTGTCTGTCTCTGCCCTTGCCTGCCTCATTCCTATCCTGTGGCGTAGATCTGGGCCTTCCGTACTCTCTGAGGCCTTGTGCCTCAGAGAACGAGGTGATGGCGAACATGCTGCACTCGCTGTCCCGGTACCAGCCGCTGCCGCAGATCTCACCGCGATACGGCTGCGTGGACCCACTCCGGGGTCGCATGCCTTACCAGGGCTATGAAAGCCCTTGTTCTGGTCGCCACTACTGTCTGCGTGGGATGGATTACTTAGTCGCCGAGGACCCCTGCAACGAGACCAGCCGGCAGACACTGCGCCCTCAGCAACCGATTGTAAGGTCTGCGGGACCCGGCCAGGAGTGCGCCACCAGCCCCGCCCACGGTCCCGCCCCCAGAACCCAGCCACGCCTAGGGCTCCGCCCAAGAACCCCGCCCTTCCCCAAAAAGCCACGCCCAGGACTCCGCCCCCAGAACCCAGTTTACACCCCGGCCAGCCCCGTCCAGGACTCCGGCCCCAGAGCCCAGCCCCGTCCAGGGCTCTGCCCCCAGAACCCAGCCCCGCCCAGGACTCCGCCCCTGGAATCCAGTCACGCTCAGGACTCCGCCCCCAGAACCCCGCCCTGCCCCTGCCAGCCACGCCCATGGCCCCGCCCCCAGAACCCTGCCCCGCCCCGGTCGGCCACGCCCAGTCTCCGCCCCCAGAACCCAGTTTACGCCCCAGCCAGCCACGCCCAGGGCTCCTCCCCAGCCAGCTAAGCCAAGGGCTCCTCTCTCAGAACCTCGTCCCGCCTACCACCAGCCAAGTCTAGAGCTCCGCCCCCAGAACCTCATCGCGCCTACAACCAGCCACGCTCAGGACTCCACCCCCAGAACCTCACGCCCCAGGACACTACTCTAGGGTCCAGTCTCAGATCCGCCCCGCGTCTGGCTCCTTCAGTCCTTTTTTTCCAGACCCTACTCCGCGGCCCGTCCGCTCTGCCATGCACTCCCTGCCCAGTGCCGGAGCCCACCTCTGAAGCTGGAGAACATGTCCCTAGAGTCCTTTACATTTCCTCCTGCATTGGGTTCAAAGTCAGCCTGATTCTTGTGTCTCTTCTGGAGGTCCTGCCGAAGGGTTCTGTTTTCTTTTTCTTTTTTTTTTGAGAAAGACACTTCTCACCTCCCCCCACCCCCACTCCCGCATACCTTTGGCATCCCATTCACACTCCGCAGGTGCTCTTACCTGGGCACCCGGCTCCTGACAACGCAGGTTCTAGTCTGCAGAGAGCCGTGCGTCCTCAGAATTGTGCTGTGGATAAAGCGCAGGGCTACAGTCAGGTGCTAAGTGAGCAGGGAAGTGGGGGCTGCAATGACCAGAGGGACCCTGAGCTCCCCGGAGCCCCCCCACTACTAGCTAGACAGCCTCACTAGTTAGTCCCGAGAAACACAGGCAGAAGCGCTCTGCCCCAGACCGCGGCACAGCCTTGTCCAGGCACCCGGCGGCTCCGGTGAATGGGGGAGGTGCAAAGTCGGTGTCAGTCTCGACGTGGTCCGGCAGGCCCTGAGCCCCATCTCCAATCCCATGGCAATCCCCCTACCCTTCCCAAGGCCGAGAAAGCCTGAAATGCTGTATGAGACCAGGTCTTAAGCTTCTCGCGGAAGTGGGAGCGAGAGAAAAATGCTTGCGAGTCAGAGAGGTCCCTAGTTCTGGAGTAATTACCTTCCCACGCGAGGATGGGGTAAGGGACTCCCAAGACCTTAACAACTGAACCTGACCCTGCTCAAAGCTTGGCTTGCTCTAGGTCCCCCCCCCCCACCCCCCCCCACACACTGGCTCTTTTGGGGGTGGGGAGGTGAGGGTGGGCGTAGGAATGACTCCTAGGGCGCTCTGAGTCCGGTTCTAGGTTGGGTGTGGAAAGCGGACACCAGAAGACCCAACCCCTCTCCCTAACCCACTGTTTCCTCTTCCAGGAGTATATCACCGTACGATCACCGGCCCGGAATGCAGTGTGCTGTTCTGACGCCCCCGCCGTCATTCTTCCCTTGTCCCAATCTTAAGTAAGCCTGGTACTCGCCTACCTAGACGCGTGCTTGCAAGCACTGGGGAAGGCGGCCACGTGGTGCCTCAAGGGTCCTGGCCCCAGATGTTTTGATCACTGTCCGCTGCTTGCACGGGTAGAAGAAGACACCAGGGGGCGCTGGTATCATGGGGCTAGTATTAAAGCTGGCAAAGAAATGGTGGACCCTATGGGTGAGCTTGAGGGGCTCCAGGTTGGCGGTGTGAATTAGAGTACAGATATTAGATATTAGGTAGTTAGTTTCAGGGCTTGAAAGGTAAAAATTGGAAGTCAATGTTAGGGTACTTAGAATGAGAAGCATAACCTGAGGTCAGATCATCAGTGTTGGGACAAAATGTTGGATTTGGGCTAAGGTTTGCAGTGAAAGTGGAATTAGAAGTGTGATGGTCCAAAAGAGTTTCTCTGTCTCTCCTCCACAGATGGGAAACAAGTCATTTCAAGAAGACCAGTGGTGCAGAGAAAGACAACTATGTAATTCATCCTGAGTTTACATCAGAGATCTATCCTGATGGCTGTTAGAACCCAAGGCTGGTGGAAACAAAGCGGTGGAGAAATAAATACTCTTTACTCCATGGTATCCCTACCAGCAGTGTCCTTACAGCTGCTGCTGTATTCTAACCCAGCAGGATCCCGCAGTGAATCAGTTACTTAAGCCCCTGCCCAACCCCCTCAACTGAGATGCACTTTTTCAAAGTCCCTGAGCCCCTCCACCCCCTCATCTTATAGAGGTGTTCCAAGGGGCCTCCTGACACCTAACAGCTAGTATCCTCTACTCTTCCACCTCAGAGCCCAAACTAATGGATTCACCTTTCCTTGCAGGGAGGACTCATCTTCCCACCCATGCCCAGAAGGCCTACTGGTTGACATTTCAATAATTCCCAAATGAGATGCCCCCCTCATCCTCTTATCTCTGTGAACCCCCAAATCTTCCATTCTGCGGCCGGAGCCCAAAGTTCTCATCTGTTTCCAGAATCTTCAGAGTCCCTCCCGCTAAATCTATATTCAGGTATTTTTGCTCTCTCCCCCCCAACCCTAGTCTAGGGGTTCAAACATCATTTTGGAGTGTTTGTCATTTGAATCCAAGAAATTCAAATGACAAAACAAAACCGCGTTTCTCTGTCCCGCAGGAAGCCAAGAATGGAATATTTTGTAATCACGAACATTGCCAATATTTTTCCACTCCACTTCTGGGGTGGGGCTCCAGGTGTATGGCGGATCACATCCACATTCTCTCTACAGGGTGGGAGGTGGGCGCTGGTGGAAAGCCCCTTTCTCTAGAGTCCTTGATGGAATCCGCACTGCACTGAGCTTCTGAGAGTCCCCCGGAAGCGTCGCTACCCTTTATTCCATATAAGAAACTTAGTGCGAGCGCAATATATCGAACCAACTCATCCGGCCTGCCTCAATAAGAAGGGCAGAATCCCAAGAGTCCAACCCTGTCCATCTTCCCTGGGGCACTTCAGTCGCTCTCATCCCCGCCCCACATTTTAGCCTGGGAAGTGCCAAGAACCCCGACGTTGTACAGCGGCGCATGACTGCAGAACTACCTTCCCCCAGCAGGCCGGGGCCAGGGAGCCGTGCGGGCCCGCGCTGAGCAGGGGCCCCGGGCCCGGGTTACTGGGAGCCGGGTTCCGAGTGGCCGCGGGAAGGTGGGGGCTAGGGGGCGGGGCCTCCAGCCCGCGTGACAATGTGGGAGGAGCCAGGGCGGGGCGGGGCTGCCTCGGAGCGGCGGGGCGGGGCCGAGCAGGCAGAGGGCGGGGCGGGGGAGGGCCCCCGCCGTCCCCAACCGGGCAGCGCCCCGCACCGCCGTGGCTCTTCGGCTCCCGCCAGCGTGGAGGGGATCCAGGGGAAGCTCCCTTCACCTCCCACTTGAGTGACCCCTTGCCGTGAGTGAGCCCAGCGCGAGGGGACCTTTGCAGAGGGCGCGGGGCTGGGGGCGGGAAGCAGGGAGCTCACTAGGTGAACTTTTCGTCCTGGGCTAAGCAGCCTGGACACCACCCAGGTCCAGGAGGAGCCTCGGTTCCCAGCGGGTGAACGGCCCCCTTTGACCTCAGCCTGTCCCTTCGGGACGTTGGCGGGGCGGGGCGGGGTGCTGAGCTGCAGCAGGAGGTCACTTGTTTCCCCCACCCCCACCCCGCGCGCCCCCCATCCCGTCGTGCCGGCCGAGCAGGGAGATGGCCCGGATCGAGTTACCTTTAACATTGCCAGCTCCTGGGATTTGCGCTGGGCAAACCATTGAGTGTGGCATGGCCGGCTCCCACTTGGGCCTTGGCCCTCGGAGCGGCTCAGGGCTGGCAGCCAAGGCTGAGGCTGAGTGTGAAGTGGGGAGCGGCTTTGCCGGGGCTACCCTACCTGCAGCCATGAGTCTGTGGTTGGCCAGAAGCAGCCGCTTCCTGGAGACCCCTCGCGCGGTTCAGGACCTTGCAAGGTTCACAAGCTCAGTTTAACTTGCACAACGCCCCCTCCTGTTGCCACTGAAATCATCCCGGAGAGAGAGTCGGTGCTACTGGGGTACTTGCCTTGCATGCGGTGGCCTGCCTGTGGTCCCCCCAAGCACCACGGGGGAGTGACCCCTGACCACAGAGCCAAGAGTAGCCTGTGGGCTACAGGGTGTGGTCCAAATACCCCTGCCCCAATAAAATAAAATAAAATAAAAATAAGTTAAACCATTTTCCGATCCTAAAGAAGTTTCCCTGGAGCAAGCAGGAGCACCAGCCTGGTGGAAGACAGGCCTCACAGCCCACATCTGCTTGATGGAACCTTGCCTCACTGTGGGCCACACTTTCCTGGATGGCAGCACAATCTCCTGAAACTTCTGCTAGGCTTTGCTAAATGGGGGGTGGGGGGGGTTGGAACTCTAGCAACCTTGCTACCAGGGTGGTGGAGTTCAAATAAATTTGTTTTCAGTGGGCCACTGTTTCCACATCTATAAAGTGGGCATAGGGCTTTTCCCTCCTGTCTGGCCTTAATTTTGATGGTGGCTGCTGTGGTGGCATTCGGAAGGCCACCAGAGGAACTTGGTGGGGTGCAGAGGTCAGCAGGGTGTGGTGGGTGCTCAGGTTTTGTGGGGTCTTGTTCACAAAAGAACCTTGGAATCCTAGAAAGGTAAGATTCTCAAGAAACTCTTAGGAAAGGTTTTGGGTCTCTTTGGTGGCTGACTGAATATGAAGTCTTGAGAATAAGCTTGACTGACTCAGACAAGAACTTTTTCCTCTCATTACTTTAGTAGCCAGAAACTGGGCTTGCTGTCTTGAGTGAGTACCTATAAATGTACAACAGAATTAACCTTGGATGAGCAAAACCCAAGGGTTCTGCTGACCTTGAGGACATCTCTTGGAGGCTACCGCCTGCATCTGTGAGATGGTTTTTCTAACCCTTGCCTAGAGGAATCGGGGTGTCTCTGGAATGGGGGTGTTCTGAAAGCTAAGTTGCGTTGGGCTAAGAGGAAAGCAGGAATGGGGCTGTCGTGGACCTCCGAGTGCTAACCAGATGAAGGAGCTGAGGGTTGGGAGCACAGCGAATAAGCCCCCCCAAAAATAGCGCCTCCCTAAGGCAGCCGTGTGTATTGACATCTGGGTTAAAACTCTAATCTGCAGGGGCCAGGGATGTGGGTCCCCAGTAGAGCACAAGCAGCATAAGCATGAGGTTCTGCCTTCAGTTCCTGGCACAGGGGATGGGGTGGGGTTGTGGAATCTCATCCCCACCCAGCATTTCTTGATAGTCTTCATGGGAGAGGTGGGGGTAGGTGAGGACCCTCATTAGCTCTGTCATTTCCTTGCCAGTGCCTGGAAATGTACAGCGGGGCGGGGTGCTGGACTGGCACTGGGAGGAGGCTAATTACTGTTTGCCAACCTCCTCCCTGCCCCCACCCCAGCTGAAGCAGGTGGCAGCTGTCTGTCTGTCTGCTGTCTGGCAGTGTGTATGTCTGTGTGTGTGTCCATGTGGAGGGTGCTGTTTGTCCACTGGACTCTGCCCTGAAGGCTGGGTCAGGAAGGGTCAGTGACCTGAAGCAGCAGATTCGGACATGTGCTCTTCCCCTCGCCTAGGTTGCGGCTCCCCACAGTCACGTCTGGATGTTTCACGAGCACTGTGTCAGAGGGGGTGGGATGACACTGATCCTGGCAGGGCGGGTAGGTGGATGAAATCTCCGAGAAGCAAGTAGCCTTAAAGGATTTTGGTTAGAGCAAGAATAAAACTGGCAGTGACCGGTTTTGCTGTCTGGAAATGGAATTATGGTGGGTGACAGCATATCATCATACTTTGAGCCTCAGGTATAAAGCTGCTACTGCTAAACTCGTCACGGGGGTCCCAAGCTGTTTTCTACGCGAGGGAGAGATGTTGTCTGGCGGTGCAGGGTGGTTGTCTGGTTGCTCTGAGCAGATAGCACTGTCGGGAAAGCAGAGGCTGACTAGGGAAACGTTACAACAGCAGGGGGAAAAAGAAATGGGGCTCAAACTCGGTCAGGGACAGCGGGACAGTGGGTAAGTGGTAGAGACGAAGCCAAGGGGGGTAGATGGACCTGGAGGTGTGGCACTGGGAGGAGAGCAGAAAGTTGGATAGAGAAATGGACATGCTGGTCAGTGGCTAAGATCAGGGAGGAATCAGGTCAAGGGGGAGGGGATCTGAGAAGCCACCAGGGTTCCCCCTCCAGGCTCCAGACCTGCCCTCCCTCCATCTAGATTAGACCCTACAGGCCAGAGAGACTGTACAAGGATTAAGGTACATGCCCTGCATGCAGATGATCCCGGTTCCATCCCTGGCACCACAAATCCCTGGTCTCCCAAGCACCGCTGGGAGCAACCCCCTGAAGCTTGAAATAGCCCCCAAGCTGTGCTGGGTTTGGCCCAAAAACAAAAGAAAATTTCATCCCTAGAACTAAATCTGGCTTTGGGTATTTAATCTCCAGATTTAATCTGGTTTCTGACTCAAGATTAAATTCCATGCTTGAGCTGTTTTGCCTTCCTCTGTCCTTCCCCCTCCAAGGGTAAGGGAGCCAGCTTGTGCCCTGTTGATGGTTTCAAGGCTGATTGTCCCCCCCTCTAACATCGTGACCACCTCTCTGAAAAACCAGGCCTCCCCAAAACCTTCCCCCTCTCTCTGAATCATCCCCAAGCACTGACAGGCGTGGACCCTGAGCACAAAATAAGGTTTGGCCCCTGGGCACTGCTGGATATGGCCCCAAAACAAAACAAAAAAAAAAGATTAGCAAAATTAAACAGAATTGCGCTGGAGAAATAGTACAGCTGGTCAGGTGCTTGCCTTGCATGTAGCCAATCTGGGTTCAATCCTTGGCACCCAGTATGGTCCCCCAGTCCACACCAGGAGTGATCCCTGAGCACAGAGCTAGGAGGAAACTCTGAGCATCTCCCAGGGTGGCCCAAAAACAACAACAGCAAAAGCTCTGTGATCCTAGACAGCTCCCTTATCCTCTCTGGGTTTGTTTTTCCACCAGCAAAACGGCTGGCACAGCATCTGCCCATCCCTCAGAACTCTAAGGCGGTCAGTAGTACAGAGCCCGCCAGAAAGGGTGATTATGTCACACAAAGAGGGCTGAGGGTACGTCTCAGTAGTAAAATGAATGCCTTGCAGGCCTGAGGTGTGGGTTCAATCCCCAGAACTGCAGGAGGTGGAAAGCTTTGGGGCCAGAGATAGTACAGAGAGTATGATGTTGGCCTTACATACAGCCAACCCCAGTTTGTTCACTAAGCATGGCACAAATCCCTCTTCCACTCTCCACTCCTTTCCCCCAAAAGAAGAGTGCTTAAGTCAAACTGTATGTTCCCAACCTTATGTCCCATACCTCTCTTTACTGGAACGAGAAAGCTCAGTGGTATCTCTTTCCCCCTTCCAGGCTCGGGCAAGCCAGGCTCAGATGGATTTCACCTGGTGACCCCTCGCACCCTCCAGTCTTAATGGAGAGCTGATGTCTCTGAACCCTCCGGAGCAAAGCCAGGCCTACCCGCGCCGGAACCTTGGGAGCCCGAAGGGCCAGGAGGCCGCCGCCGCAGGAGTCATGTACACCTTCCTGCCTGATAACTTTTCGCCCACCAAGCCCAAGGCGTCCAAAGAACTGAGGCCGCTGCTGCTCTCCGGCGCGCTGGGGCTGCTGCTGGTGCTGACCGCGGTGGTGGCCTGGTGCTACTACAGCGTCTCCTTACGCAAGGCCGAACGTCTGCGCGCCGAGTTGCTGGACCTCAACGCGGGAGGCTTCTCCATCCGCAACCAGAAGGGCGAACAGGTTTTCCGCCTGGCTTTCCGCTCGGGCGCGCTGGACCTGGACTCCTGCAGCCGCAACGGCGCGCTGCTCGGTTGCTCCCACACCGCAGATGGCCGCCCGCTGCACTTCTTCATCCAGACCGTGCGCCCCAAGGACACGGTCATGTGCTACCGCGTGCGCTGGGAGGAGACTGCAGCGCCAGGGCGCGCGGTGGAGCATGCCATGTTCCTGGGCGACGCCACCGCGCACTGGTACGGAGGCGCCGAGATGAGGACGCAGCACTGGCCCATCCGTTTGGAGGGCCACCAAGAACCCCAGCCTTTTGTCACCAGCGACGTCTACTCCTCCGACTCTGCCTTCGGAGGCATCCTGGAACGCTATTGGCTCTCGTCGCGCGCGGCCGCGATCAAGGTCAATGACTCGGTGCCCTTCCACCTGGGCTGGAACGTCACGGAGCGCTCCCTGCTCCTGCAAGCGCGCTACCACGACACGCCCTACAAGCCGCCGCCCGGCAGCACGGCGGCACCCGAGCTCAGCTACCGCGTGTGCGTGGGCTCCGACGTCACCTCCATCCATAAGTACATGGTCCGGCGCTATTTCAACAAGCCGTCCAGGGTGCCGGCCCCGGAGACCTTCCGGGACCCCATCTGGTCCACGTGGGTGCTGTACGGGCGCGCCGTGGACCAGAGCAAGGTGCTGGACTTCGCGCAGCAGATCCGGCAGCACCGCTTCAACAGCAGCCACCTGGAGATCGACGACATGTACACGCCGGCCTACGGCGACTTCGACTTCGACCAGGCCAAGTTCCCCAACGCCAGCGACATGTTCGGCCGCCTGCGCGACGCCGGCTTCAGCGTCACCCTCTGGGTGCACCCGTTCGTCAACTACAACTCGTCGCGCTTCGGGGAGGGCGTGGAGCGCGAGCTGTTCGTGCGCGAGCCCACGGGCCGGCTGCCCGCGCTGGTGCGCTGGTGGAACGGCATCGGCGCCGTGCTGGACTTCACGCGCCAGGAGGCGCGCGACTGGTTCGAGGCGCAGCTGCGGGGGCTGCGCGCGCGCTACGGCGTGGCCTCGTTCAAGTTCGACGCGGGCGAGGTGAGCTACCTGCCGCGGGACTTCAGCACGCACCGGCCGCTGTCCGACCCCAGCGTGTGGAGCCGGCGCTACACGGAGATGGCACTGCCCTTCTTCGCCATGGCCGAGGTGCGCGTGGGCTACCAGTCCCAGAACATCTCGTGCTTCTTCCGCCTCGTGGACCGCGACTCGGTGTGGGGCCACGACCTGGGCCTGCGCTCGCTCATCCCCGCCGTGCTCACCGTCAGCATGCTGGGCTACCCGTTCATCCTGCCCGACATGGTGGGGGGCAACGCCGTGCCCCAGCGCACCGAGGGCGGCGGCCCCGTGCCCGAGCGCGAGCTCTACGTGCGCTGGCTCGAGGTGGCCGCCTTCATGCCCGCAATGCAGTTCTCCGTCCCACCCTGGCAGTACGATGCCGAAGTGGTGGCCATCGCGCACAAGTTCGCTGCACTCCGCGCCTCCCTGGTGGCGCCGCTCTTGCTGGAGCTGGCCGGGGAGGTGACGCACACGGGAGACCCCATCGTGCGCCCGCTCTGGTGGATCGCGCCCGGAGACGAGACGGCGCACCGCATCGACTCGCAGTTCCTCATTGGGGACACGCTGCTCGTGGCGCCCGTGCTGGAGCCCGGCAAGCAGGAGCGCGACGTCTACCTGCCCGCCGGCAAGTGGCGCAGCTACAAGGGCGAGCTCTTCGACCAGACGCCGGTGCTGCTCACTGACTACCCTGTCGACTTGGATGAGGTCGCTTACTTCATCTGGGTCTCCTGATCTGCCCCCCAACTTGCGCCCCCACAGCTAGCACCCCGGAGTCTCACAGCGCTAACCTGCATCTTCAGGAAGGCCTTTTACTGCCCCCATCAAAACCACCCCGCCTGGCCCCAGCAATCCCCGAGCCTCCGCACCACCCACAAAGTGGGTCTTACCTGACGTTTACGGAGTCGGTTCCTTAGAGCCAGGGGAGGGGACGCGGCAGCCACCCACTCCAGCACGTCTTCCTAAGCCCGCTGTTCTGTCCACACTCCATTTGCAGAAACTTCTTTCCTGGGGTGGAGGAGGGGGCTCTCAGCTGGATGGAAAAAAGGTCCCCTCTCTTCTGGTGACACGTGGCTGAGTTTTAAAAGCAGAGAGAAATCTCACCCTTCGTTCCCCACGAAGTTGCCATTTTTTGTCCTCTTGAAATGATTAATCCTTTGTGGAGGTCTCCAAATAACCCTCTGCCACACTCAGAAATAACAAAGTTTTTGGTCTGGGGGGGAAGCCAACCCCTGAGTTCCCAGCACTGACTTGAACACACTGACCTGACTGGCAAAAAGGGATGGAGATGTTTGGCCACCCTACCAGAAGGCTTCTTGGAGAGGCAAAAAGGACTGGGCTCAGCACAGAGCCATCAACATCACCCCTCATTTGTGAAGAGACTCCTCTGTCGCACTGACCTGGCTGTCAAGGACTCAACCCAGGGCTGGGGTCTCAGCCCCAGGGGCAAGGATTTTCAAGGTCATGAAGGCCAGACTTGGTGCCTTAGCTTAAGAACATGTGTGTGTGTGTTTGTGTGTGTGAGAGAGAGAGAGAAAGAGAGAGAGAGAGAGCATGAGAGAGATTGCTATGAATTGAAGCTAGAGGGGTTTCAGACTTTTTGTTGCTGAGGTTTTCATGAGGTTGAGTTGGCCCACTCCCAGGTGACCGCCCTCAATCTCTTGTTCTCCTATAGGAAATAAACACCCTTTCAAGATTCCTCAGATGCCCACATCCCTGCACTATGGGAGAGGTGTGGTCGAAAAGGGAGCAATGGAGTGTGCCTGTTCACACGTACCTGTGAACATGGACACACGGACATCTATACACACATACACACACACACATACACACACACACACACACACACAGTCCTCCTGTCAGCCATTCTCCTTTTCTCAGAAGTGCAGCCTTGTGCAGAGAGTTTTTCCTGACTGCAGCTGAGTCTGGGGAAGGAGTGGCTCACCAGAGTGGGGGGAGGTGGAAAACACAGCAGGGCTCTGCTTGGACAGCAAGAAATGGCCCTTTAAAGAGACAATGCATGCCTTTGCCCATCCTCCACCACCTCTACTTTCTCAGTGTGAAGAATGGCTGGTGAACGTGTGGAGGCATTCACAGTTGGTCATGTTGAGCGGTGATTTTGCCACTTGTGCATGAGCACTGTGACCTTGAGCAAGTTGCTGAACCTTGCAGAGCCTCCATTTCTTCCTGTAAAATGGTGATAATGCCTACCTCCTAGATTGTAGTGGAAATTATAAGCACAAATGTGAAGTGCCTGGCACATGTAGGTGCTCAATAAAAGGTAGCTACAAAAATGTTGGGTTTTGTTTTCTTGGGGGGGGGGGGGGAATATGAACCAGAGAGATAGGTCAAACGAATGAGCACATGTAAAAAACCAAGATTTGATCCTTGACGTTACATGGTCCCCTGAGCACCACCAGGAGCAACTCCCAAGCACTGGATTGGGAGTAGCTCCTGAACACTGCAGGCATGTGGCCTCCAAAATTACCTAAAATTAAAACTTTTTTTTTAAAAAAGGATTCCAAGGCCAGTAAGATAGTACAGGGGGTAATCTAATGTGTTTGCCTTGTGTGCAGGCGATTCAGGTTCAATCTCTGGCACTGCATGTGGTCCTCTGAGTCCTACTGAGAGTGATCCCTGAGCACAGAGCCAGAAACAGACCTTGAATCCTGCCAGTGTGACCCAAACATACACACATACATACACACAGAGGCTGGAGTAATAAACAGCTGATAAGGTACTTCTCTTGTACCAGCTGACCCAGGTTTGATCCCCTGCACCCTGTAAGGTTCCCTGAGCACTGCCAGGAGTGATCCCTGAGTGCTGAAACAGGAGTAAGCCCTGAGTACCACTGGACATGCCCCAAACAAACAAAAATTGAAAATTAGGGTCAGGGAGACAATGTAGGGAGTTTAGCCATTTTCCCAAGACCCACAAAGTGGGACTGAAGCAATAGCACAGTGGATAGGGTGTTTGCCTTGCACGCGGCCAACCTGGGTTTGATTCTCAGCATCCCATATGATCCCTCAAGCACAGCCAGGAGTAATTTCTGAGCACAGAGCCAGGAGGAACTCCTGAGCATCACAGGGTGTGACCCAAATAGCCAAAAAAAAAAAAAAAAAAGACCCACAAAGTATAAAATCCTCTTTTGCAGGTACATTGGCCCATTCTAAGTATCTCAGTGTGATGAATGACAGGTGGCTGACTTGCCAGGCAGTACAGATTATAGAACATTTCCATAGTTGCACAAAGTTGCAACACTGGCAGCTCTGGCCCAAGCCATGTGTGTTTCGGGCATGGAAAGGTAAAGCTCGCCCCTCAGGTCTAAGCTGTCTGGCCTCAGAGGCAGCCCCTTTAGAAAGGCCTCTGAGGGGAGCAGCAGGGTCTGATGTAGCCCTGGAGAGGCACACACCTGCTGCTGACCCTCAGTGCTGCTCAGGCAGGGCAGAAGGGAAGATCGCCTTTGGCCAAATTCCAGGGAACTGGCTCTTGGCTTGTGATCCGGTGCCTTGTCTGGCTCTGTGATTGACCTCATTAATCACAAAAGCGCAAAGCAGCAAACAAGCGGAGAGATGGCCGAGGTTTGAGGTCACTGAGAAAATTAGTAACAGAGAGAGAGAGAGAGAGAGAGAGAGAGAGAGATTCATCGGCTGAATCTTGAGGCCCTGAATTGCCCAACAAACAGTCACCTTTCCATAGAGTTCTCTACCTGGACAGCAGCCAAAATGCCTCTCCGAAGCTTACACCCAGGAGGCTGGATTCTCAGTCAGAGAGTGTATCCTGTGTATACAGTACTAGAAAAAAGAGAGCTGTGAGCAGTTGCGAGTGGGTGTGGGGCTGGACGGGCTGGAGCCCTGAGAAAGAGCTAGGTCTTGGGAGGGAGGGAACTGGGCTGGAAGCTATTTCTGCCCCTAGCCCTAAGATATCAAGGATCCTGCCTCCAGCCTGTCCAGTCCTTCATCTCTGCCTGCCAGCACTTCCCAACATTCCACATTTCTCTCTGCACATCCTCTTGTGCTGAGATTCCAGTAGCCTTGTCAGGAACAGAATTCCTCACTGGAGTCCCCTGTACCACTCAGCTACTGCAGGGTGCTTATTATATGCAGGAATGGGGAACTCCCTCCTCCTGAAGTTGTAGGGATGGAGTGCCCACTGCAAGAAGTCGGGGCAGGGCTGGATGCCCCTATTCTATAAACCTGCGTGCCCTGGGAGATAGCTTTGGTTTTGTTGCCAGAAGGGGATGTGACTCCCACAAGCAGGAGTTGGGTTCCCTGGGTAGCTTATGTACAGGGGGGAGGGGAGAGGCAGCAGCTTCCAGAAGTACGTCTACTGCTTCCCTCTTTACTCATCTTGGTAACCTGGGAAGTATCCAGGGAGATCTAGTACTGATGAGAGTCACTTGTGAGCCCCTGCACGGGTCAGACATCACATATCAAAAGTCTCAGGGTGCAGTGGCCAAATCAAACCTGGGTCCCACTTATTCCTCCTGGCTTAACCTGGGAAATGATCCCTGCCATGCAATTTCTCAGGGAGTCATGGAAGCCAGGCTGGAGTGATCACTTACTCTTTGCAGGAAAGTCAGTCCTAAATCTTACCCAGGTCCATTGCCTTACCTCACAGAAAGGAATTTCAGGAGTTGATGAATAGTGCAGAGAAACAAGTTTATTCAGAAAATAATAGGAGGGGAAAATAGAGAGAACACAGGCTTCACCAAAGTGGAAAAAGCAAAGTTCACAACCCAAACAGGGATGTGTGGGCCATTTCCCCAGAACAGGGAAATGTGCCCTGAAGTGAGAAAAGATATTGGGGCCAGAGAGGGGAGTACAGTAGTAGGCAGGGGTTTTGCCTTGCATGTGGCTGACCCAGGTATGATCCCCATCCCCATCATTCCATATGGTTCCCCTGAGCACCTCCAGAAGTAATTCCTGGGTACGGAGCCAGGAGTAACCCCTGAGCACTGTGGGCATGGCCCCAAAACAAAAACCAAAGGAAGAAAGTACATATCTCAGGAGGGAAATGAGAGCAAATTTCCTCTGCCTAGTTAGTTTATATACAATTTCCCAAACTTCCCCCCTGAAGTCCATTGCTAGGGTGGTTGCCAAGGGGGTGTGAACTTGGAACCATTGATGGTCTTTTGATACTCTTAGCATGGCCTTTGTTCCACCACAAAGTGGGGCACTCACTGGTGCCTCTCCTCCTAAGGGTTCCAGCTCTGCGCTGAGCCTGGAATTCTGAGAATTCTGCATCTCGGTGGTTTTCCAGGCTCCTTTAGCTGCCTTAGTGTTTTTTCCCAACATGCCTTACCTCCCTATCTCTCTGCTTGCAATCGTTTCTTTTCGAGCAGCATACAGATCATCTAAACCCAGGGCCTAAACCCAGGCCCATTCTTCCTTCTGAGCCCATGATGTGAGTTTTCTGGGAGTCCACATTCCCCAAATTGAGATGAAGTGTTTCTGACTCTGGCTCCAAAGTAAGTCTTCTGCTGGTTTTCATCACTGAGCTACTCCTGGCTCCATGCTCAGGAGTGACCCCTGGTGTTGCTCAAGGTACAATATATGGTCCCAGAAACTGAACTGGGTCAGCAGCATCAGAATAAAGTGCATTAACCCCTGTACTATCACTCAGCCCCCTCACAGCACCCCGCCCCACCTTCCTCCAGTTTCCTTTCTGCTCCTTTCTCCTCTCCTCAAGTCCAAGGACCATGTTAACCCCATCGCCTGACCATGCCCCCAACCAGACTATTCATTCTAGCCTGGATCCCTGCTGGGGCCTCTTGGCAATTCTCAGCACAGCCAGAAACTCCTGCAGCTAGTCCTCTTGTCATCCTCACAGCCTTTAATTCAGACTTTGATGTTCAAGGTTTCTATGATTTAAATCCTACGTGCACCTCTGTTTCTGTTTTGCTCCCACACAGGGGCTCCTTATCCTTAATGTCAATTTTTGCTGTGTTTGAGGGCCACACCTAGTGGTACTTGGGGGCTACTCCTGGCTTTATATGTTGGGAAACTCACTCCTAGGCTGTGTTTGAAGTCTCCTGCAGTGCTGGGTGGGGTTCATCAAAGCCTGTGCTCAGCCCTTTGAGCTGACTCTCAGCCCCGGGGAATTTTCGAAAGGCATTGGAGAAATACTACCTTCCGTTTCCTGCAGCTTATAGCCCACCAGGCTGAGAAGAGGCCTGCTGGACTGTGCCCTGAAGAACTGCAGGGGGCAACCAGTCATCTCTTTTCCTGCCATTGTCCAACTCAGCAGGAGTTCTGCAAACACCGCCCCTCTCCTTGAACACCCCAGTCCCTAACGAACAACCTGGCTCTTACCTTAAAGCTAACCCCCCCTCTTTTTTTTTTTTTTTAATTTGTGCCCAGGAATCTTTCTGGCAGCTTTAACTGAGGAAAAATTTTTAGTCTTGGGGCAAATGCTGAGTTGGGCAGGGCTTGGGGTTGGGGGAGGACTAGGAGGAGGCCTGGGAGTTCCGCCTGAGGGAGTTCTGCTTGAGGGACAGGAAGAAGTCCCGGCCTTTGGACTGCTGTGTGATGCTGTTCCCCGTTTATCCCCCCTCCCCTTCCCCCACGTCAAGAATCCAGCTGAAAACTTCCTAGTAGCCAACCCCACTCAGGAGCATGGAGAAGGTGGACAGAGAAGGGAAGGCAGAGAGCAAGTCCTGCTGGATTCCCACAGCAGAGACACAGGACGGGAACAGCCCTCCAATCCCTGCGCAGAGCAGAGACCAGTTGGGCTCTGGGCTGGACCATTGATGGGGTCCATCCTCTCCTCCCCAGCAAGGGTCACCTCCATTGCTACACACTTGTTTCTTTCTGGAGTTTGCTTTTTGTTGTTGTTTGTTTGGGGAGCCACATCCAGTGGTGTTCGGGCTCACCCTGGTGATCCTTGAGGGACCACGCGGTGCCGGAATCAGAGCATGTGGGGATTAGAACATTTCCCTGGCCCGCGTTTCTTTTTTTAACCCACACACCTCCACCTTGTCACCCTCTTCCTCTTCTCAGGTAATTTTAGGTGTAGGAATGCAAATGGGGCCTCCTGCAGGTAAAGTATTTGCTCTAGCCCTCTGAGCTGGCTCCAGTTCCTGGTTTGTCTTTGTTTCATCCATTCATTTTTATATTGTCACATAGGTGAAGTCACCTAATACCTTTTTTCCCTTCTGATTTATTTTACTCTGTGTAATTCCTTCAAGCACCTTCCAGTTTGCTGCGAATGGTGAAATTTTATATTTTCAGTAACTGAATTCTATTATATAAATATTTCACAGTTTTTTTATCCAGTGTCTGTCAAT